GTTTTCTTAAACACTAAAAAGTATCTTCAAAAGCTCTCTGTAAGGAGAAATATTTCATCCGAACTATCCTTTTCCTGGATTTTATATACACTCAGTAATTATAATTAAAGATTATATTACACATAATGCAAAGTCATATTTATGCTATTAATATTCACTTATATGTAAGTACACTCTATACTCTTATATTGTGTTAATACGTTAATGATTATAGTGTAAAAACATGTGCTTTAAAGTCACTAGTACGTCTTAAGTATTCCTGAGAAAATTGTATAGTTCCCATCACTAAATAATATGGTGAATATAACGAATATCACAACGGATGTCTGAGGTTTTTCATTTTTTTTTTTCATTTTAATTACAGCAGATATTACAAGTTTTTAATAAAGATGCATTCAGATATTAATGAGCTTTATCATGTCATTTTATAGACTCAATTACTTGATTACTTCCCCTGTAAATCTTAATGTATAATATTTGCATAAATTGTTTATCTCCATCAATCGATATCTTTATTTCTGTATCATCATATAACTGTCAAATCATTTGGAATTATCACTGATTAGAGACATTATTAAAATGTGTGCAATTGATTTGCAGTTTGTACAGGAATTTATAATTATCGATAAATCAAAAGGCTATTAGTATAAAGAAATTATATATATAATAAATAAAGTAAGGTTGTTTAATATGTAGGTAAGATTCAAAGATACTTTAAAGAAATGAAAATTAATAATAAAATTCTTTAAACTTGAGGTTTGTAAAATATTCTCTTTTCTCTTATTATAAAGTTATAAAAGATAATGTCTGTAGTATTGAAATTCCTAATTAAAATAATAAAATAGTATCAAGATAAAATGAAATTGGAATAAAGTGTGTGAAAACTGGCTATTGCCATTTGCATATATGAAATGGGAAGGTTACAATCTTGAATTTTAAGTATTATAAATTTTCAATATCTTTTCCATTATATTGATTAATATTATATTGATTTACTAAAAGTATAAATTCTTTATTTAAATAAGTCGCTTAATGATAACTTACATTTAAAATTGGTAAGCAGTTTGAGAAAGAAGTATCTTGGATTTATTAAGAGTGATTTTAGAAGCTAAAAGAAAAAAAAAAGGTTTATTAATTATTCTGAAATGAAAAATATCAAGAAAATCGATAATAAATGTCAGAAAATAATATTATTTGTATGTTAATGGAAGTTTTATGTATGATAGTTAATGCGTTTGCATTTTTCATCTGTTCGTTTGACTTTTTTCATCAAAATATTTAGTACGTAATTAATAATAATTCTTTTTTCAATTACAAGTTTGCTCCATCAACATCTCAATCGAATTTTACTTTAAATTAACTATTTTATTCTATTTTTTACTGTAATTGCAATTAATTACATTAATTAAAAGGACATGTCATTAAATGTTAGTCAAAGATTTTAAAACAGTTTATTAGTATTTTTTATATGCAATAAATTCATTAAAGTCTTTAGTAGGTTATTGACCATATTATCAAATAAACTTATCAACATGACTTGAAAATAATAGATATGTGCAAATTTGTGAATTTATTATTTGATTTAATATGGAATTACTAAATGCCAGACATAATTACTCATTGGATCAATAATCTCTTGCATGAATAACAGTATTAGATGGGATTCTATTAAAGGAAAAGTCATTGGACTCGTGTATTCCAGTCTTATTGCCCTCAAATCTTTCCCAATAGCTTGCAGCCCTACGTGGAAAGTCCACTATAATACTCTTATGTATAAGCTACACAATTAGACGTACACACTCAATATCTGTTTTAACAAAAAAAAATACTTTTTTAATATAAATTTAATCATTTTAATGCAAACCTGTTAAACGATGACTGAAAAAGTTTTCATTAGACCAAAATTATTAAATCTCAGGATGATTTTTTATCTATTTGAAATAAAAATAATTTTCATGGTATTAATTAAATTGAATTAATTAAACTTGATTACTTTATTTCAATATTAAAATTAATTAATGATCATTGTTGATGTGTTTTTAATAACGGCTGGAATTTTTATAAAAATTATTTTTTTTTATATTTATTCGTTACGAGTGCAGCAGTTTATTTCAAGTAACTTTCATCCATTTGCTACAAAATGTCAATTAAAAATTGAGTAAATAAATTGATGGAAAATTAATTAAAAAATGCTATAAAAATTATAAATAATGTAAAATAAAAATTATTTTTTTTTAATCACTAAATCTAATGCTGTTAATTCTAATCACCAACCACTAAAGTTCATCTGTCAATAAATCCCGATTAAAAGAGAATCTCGTGGCATCTTGTTTCGACTACTCTATCATATTGTAATTGAATTGTATTGACATTAGCTAATTATGATTCCTTAACAAGTTGCTATTGCGTTGACAAGTTGCTATGAAATATGCATCCTCGATGCATGTATATGTTAAAATGTCTTGAACAAGTCTCATGCTAATTCAAATGAAATGTAAGGGTCACAATAAGACAGAAGATTCTGTTATGCAAAACAGTTAAATAAAAGTGGCTTTTCATCTTCATGCTGTTGATGAACATTCACTACAAACGTGTTAATTAATTTGCAGAACTCGTCGGTGGCAGGTTGGTTACCCGTGAATAATTTTACTCATGTCTCTTTCCTTTCCATACCTTGATACTCCATCGATCGTAGTTGATATTGCGTTCAATACTATAACTTTCTAAGATGCCTGAATAGTCGAGTTATAATTTAATTATTGTTTTACTATTATTTTATGGTTTAAAATATTAAACAACTTGTTCGCATTAGTCAGTGACAAATTATGCACAATTTAATGATGATTCCTTTTTAGAATTTATGCATGGAAAAATAATTGTGTAGAATATTGTTTTGAATAAAATTATTTTATTTCAATTTCCCAATATTATTTACGACATTTATTTAAAATAATATATATTTTTGTTAACTAATAGAGAGAATATGAATAAAATTTATTTGTTTAAAATGAAGAATGATTACTTTTCTTTCTTAAAAAATTCAAAATTAAATATTCTTGTAAAAAAAGTTAATCTTTATTAAGTGTAGATAAATTTTATCATGTTTTCTACCCAACAAAATTTTTTTTATAAATTTAAAAGTCAAAATCTGACCTGAAAAACTAAGGCAAACATATCATATTTACACATGCGATAGGATTCTATTTAAAAAAATGAACTCTACTATTTTTGTTAGAAGTCCGAAGGAAAATATTATGATGCCCTAATACAAACAGTAAATACTTATACACACACACACACACACACACACACACACTCGAGCACTTAATAAATAATACCTTATGATAATGGATATCTTAAGTTTGCTCACTACTCTCACCACGTGGAAGAAAACAGTCATTGAGTTACTTACAGGACGTTGAATTCAGCGATTCGATTTCAATTCATCGCTCGAATGAATAACCAACTGCTTTTTCTCAAAAAAAGCAGATCGTAAAGTTTTCATCTTTTTCGTCGGACATTTGCCAGACTTCTGCATTCAATCTTTCTACTTCACTAAAGATAAGTTGCGACAAATTGCATCTGACAAATGCCAAAAAAAAAATATGCATCATCGAGTGCATTAAATTATATGCACCAATTCATATTATAATGAGTGACTTCTGATATTTATACTCTATTATCGATTTTGTTCAAGTTTGATAATACTGTACTTTTCCTTCTTCTCCTCCGCCTTCATCTACTTTTAATCTCATGATTTTTTAAGATAACTCCAACTTCTTCAAGGAAATATTCATTATTACAGAAGCACATCTAACTTTGTCTCATCAGATTCAGATTTTTTATAAACAAGTTTCCCAAGTACTTTTAGTTAATAACTAATGAATAGTTTTTCATAAGAATCGAAGTGAAGAAATTATTGGATTTTGTAGAAATAAAATTAATGATTTTACACGCTCTAATTGAAATGAAAATTTATTTAACATCTGAATGTTTTTGAAAATAAACAAATTAATTAATAAAAAAAAATTTGCAGTACACGGAGAGAATTTTTTCACTGTTCGGAAGTGGAAAAAAATGAGAAATACATGATTCGAAGTTTAGAAATAAAAATTGGTGTATACAGAAATGAATTTTGAGTTATACACTACATCGCAATGTTTTACTTTTTCTTCATCTTCTGATTTCTGATTATTAGATGACAACTAAATCATCAGAGAGAAAATTGTTAAGAATGTTCAAGAGTATTTTCTAAGCTTTCAAATTCGTCATAGCACCACTGACAGTATCCTTTGAATCCTGTTATTATTTTTCAAAATAAAATAACGATCTGTTATATTAATAAAAAATTTATGAATGGTTCGAAAAATCAATAATAAAACAAGATTTACTCTGGCCATATTAATGATATGCATGAGCAAATAGCGCAGGTCATTATTTGTAAAAAAAATCTGTTGCACTAGCGGACAAAAAATTCGTTGTTTTAATATAAAATCATTTTTTATGAAGAATAAACATTTGAAAAATTGTTTCAAATTTTTTATTTATTTTTTATACTGTCAGATTAAGTATTTAGTTAGTGACAATAATAAGAATATGATTTATCCTCTTTATGGTTGGAATTCACAGATAATTCTCTCAATAAATATTATATCAAATGTATTTGCTCCATCATAAGCGGATTTATTTAAAAAGTAAATGTATTCTCTCATTAAAAAATTCTACGTCATATATTATTAAGCATCTTGATATTTAAAAGAATCATCATCAAATATATTATCTCAAGAAAAGATTATTTTATTTTTATCAACATCAGTAATTTTAATTATCAAATGCATTTTTAAATATTCTAATCAACATGCCATGCAAAATTATTCAAAACTTTGCTACGCTAAAGTTTATTCCTCTGGTTTAGTTGTTCAACTTTTGCAACTCAAACTTTTCAACAAATAACTAGTTAATGTCAATGATTAATGTTGTATTTTTTTTCAACTTTCCAGGAGATACAACTCAGCAGTCTTTCAGGGTGAGACCGGTGAACAGCTCGGTTCAAGAAGGTGGTAGAGTGATGATACCATGTGTCGTTGCAAATAGGATGGGAAATGTGCAATGGGCCAAGGATGGTTTTGCCTTCGTCATTCAACCTAGTAAGCTCTTTACTAAAGAAAACTTACAAACAGATTAGTTGTAACCAGGGCTTATTATATTCTGTCATCGTATTTCTCATATCTGATATATATTTGTATAAAATAAGCTTTAGTAGAAAGAAAAGGAGAAAAAAATTCAATTATAATGGGATCATGGAATAGGATAGACTTTATTCAAATATTTTGGTGATTTATATCCAAAAAATAACTGGAAAATTATTTATATCACTATTTTTCAATTATTCATAAAACTTTTTATTATAGAAAACAATAAAAAGCTTTTTCCATTTTTTTTAAATTTACTTACCAAGGTATTACAATTTTTTCCAATTTTAATGAGTTGTTTTAACAAAAATTAGTAAAATATTACCATTTTTTTAAATTAATTATGATTAAATTATTTTGAAAAATATTCATTATATAAAAAATTATCTATCTTCAACAAATTAAATGTAAATTTAAATACAACTCGGTATTGTTTGTGTGAGTTAATAATGTTGTTTAATTATTCAGTGGATCATTGATTCGAAAGAACAAAATTAAAAAATTTCATGAATGGTTAATAATCATCTTTCGGTTTAGCTCTCCTTTAATGCATGACTGATTTTTCCATTGTTTACTTAATTACACTTGAACGCAAAAAAAAAACAAATCATCCAATTATTTTTTCTAGACGGAAATATCGTGGGTTATCCAAGGCTCAAGTTGGAAGGCAATCAGAATGCTGGTGTTTACAATTTGACAATTAGAGATGCTTCATTAACTGATGATGGAGAATACCAATGTCAAGTGGGACCTTATGGTAAAATAAAAGCAATTAGAGCCAACGCCCATCTAACTGTCATATGTAAGTACCTATCAATAAATTCATTACACAACATTATCATTACAAAATTGATTTTTTAAACTATTCTATTACATATTATATTTCAAACGTGGTTTTGTTGTAAATTTCAAGAAGGATCGTGTAAACGTGAGAGAACCAACTAATCGAGTTAAATACACTTATTGATTTAACACAGGGTTCAAGTTGCAGTTATTTACGATTAATTAATGATTCTCTGAAATTATGTGACAAATCAATTATTGTATAAACTTTTTGCAAATAACATATTAAAAGAAATTTTATGGTATACTTTTCATAGGATTTGAATTATTAGTAATTAAATTAATCCAACTAAATGTGGTTTCAATTAATTGTACTGGAAAAAGTTAATTGCAATATGTTACTAATTTATAAATATAATTACACTATCAAACAATTAATTGAAATAAACACAAAGGTTTTTTAAAAAATATTTTTAAAAATTGTTTTATCTTAATGGTATCATGCTATCTTGCTTTTTCATCGACAATAATTAATTTTAAATGTGAAAAATGCATTATTATAATGACATATCTCCCTCAGCTAGAAATGAACTGTAATATATATAATTCAATCGAAAATTTCTGTTTCAATGCAATATTTATTTTCAATTGATAATGGAATGAAAGCACATCAACGTGAATGAACGTTGAAACACGGAAACATTAAATTTCTTTGACAATTGAATATTGTATATTTCCGGGAAATACTGTATATTGGCAGAAAACTATTTGGCACTCGATTCTAATGACGATTTCATGAAGCGTAATGACCTCCGGTTTTTAACTTGTAACGGAAGATCATAGACCACTCGATAACCGAGAAACAACGGTTTTGGCAAATAGTATCTCATAGACCTTTTTGTATTCCCAGTTGTCCTCTTTCAACGTCATGATGTCTCACATGCATTCTCAATATTTTGAGGCAAACTACTGGGTCGCAAGTCTCATGGGTGTAGTTGAAGATTCCCGAAAGTGCTGGTTGGTCTTTTTCCTCATACTAGTTTAGACTAAAAGTCACATTCAGCCATAGACATATATATTACCTTGTCATGTGCACATGGATATACATGAAAATAAAATAAACTTAACTTAAAAAATACGTGCATTCCTATGTGCTGAAATTTTCGTGCATTCCAATAGAGAAAAAATAATGCGTCGTTTCTCAACGGAAATGAAAAAAAATACTTGTAACAATAGAAAAAACTATCAAAAAAATCCTACTACTATTTTATGTGCTATTCATATTTTTGATTTTATGTAAAAATCAATTTTTTTTTATGTGTGTGTGTGTGTGGATATCAACCGAAAATGATAGCCAAGTCATTTACAACTTTAAACTATTCTCTATATTCTAGGGGTTAAAGGGGGAGAAAAAACGTGACGGTTCAATGATTCATTCATTTTAAGCTCTCAGTATAGGAAACGAGGAAAGAGAGAAAACGTGACGCAATTTTTAAAGCTCATATCAACGATCGTTTGTCGTGACCGTCGAGCAATAGATGACAAAATGGTGTGAACTATCCAACAGACGTATTATTAATGATACCACTGCGTTATTATTAGGCAGCATTTAGGTTCTACTACTAGAAGTATTATATGCTTTGTTGATTATTGGTAGTTATTGCATTGAATCACGCAAATAATATATTTTTTATTATATTTTTATCCAATTTTCACAATCAACATCTTTTATTTGAACCATTTTATTGGAATTTTGGTTTAATTATCTTTTGCTTGAATTTAATCAAGTTGAAATTACAACTTTATAGTATAACTGTACTTGAAGAAAGTTTTCAGATACTTTCAATATCACTTTTGGTTGGTTATCATCAAGTTGAATTTATATTTTTAATTTATTTGAAAAATTATGATAAAGTTTTTGTAGATTCTAGTACTATAAATGTTTCAAGTAAGGTTTTTTTTATATAAAATAAGTTTTTTAGAGGATTATATTTAGTGAAAAACTTTCAGCTGTTTGATCTTCATATGATCATTGTATGATCATTTATTCATTAGTTATAAGCTTTCAAAGCCAAAAACAATTTTTTTGCACTAGCAACTAATAGCACGATTGAATAAAATTTACTGGGGTTATTGAAAGTAAATTAGACGAAAAAGTACAAGCTTTGAGGCACTACTTATCGACTTTGATTGAATATTTTTTGTCAACTTTATAGAAGCTTTTAAAGTTTATTGAAAATTATAAGGTTTTTACATTTTTTTGAGACGCTTTGCTTTACATTGATCATCTTCATCAAATTTTCTCTATTAATTTGAAAAAAAAAGCATTTTTTCACATCAACGCTCATGATTAAAAATAAATTTATTTAAAAAAATGTTAAGTCTAATAAAATTATCTATACATTACAATAATTATCTCATTTTTATACAAAAAAGTAAATATAAACATCCTTTTCCATTACGATAAAAATAAGCATATAAGCTTTAGGAAAAATTCTTTGTGAGAATTGCTATACTTATAGGAAAATGGAAAAGAATAGATATATACGGACAGTGACAACATTTCCTTCTCCCAACACTCAACATATCCGCCGAGAATATTTTCCAATATCCTTCAATACCAAAGCTGTTTCTCAATCTTTTTCACTCTGATTTTTCTACTCCATTCAGTACACAAATAGTATACCACAAAAATTCTATGGACGATGCTTTTATGAACATACCCAGAATGCTTATATATTTCTATATATTGATAATACATCTAGACATCTAACTAAAGTGAAGACCATTTTTTTTTCTTTTTTAATCATCTCTTCATCAATATTGATCTCAACTAAACATTGGTCATCAAACATCCAAATACTTTGAAAAGAATAAATAACAAATTATTCATAAAAAAAAAAAGAAACAAAAGTAAATCTAAAGTCCAGATCTATATTCGTAAAAGAGACTCCATGTGGATAGAAATGGTCATATCCAACATCTAGGTATACAGTCATACAAAGTCCATGTATGACGTCAATAGTAAATAGAGAGCTATTCAAATTCCATTTATTTGAAATTGGAATATATTTTTTTATTGTTTTAAAATTTTTTTTCTTTTCTATCAATGAATTAACTTTCGAACTAATGTTTGGATTATTGGAAAAACTTCATCCTGGAAATCCGAAGTACAAACCCATGATAAAAGGAAAGTATCGACTTTCAATGTCACTAGCTACGAAATCAGCTCAACACGACACATAACATTGCCACTTTTGTGAAACTGTATATTTTTTTTTCTGAATTATGTGAGCATCAAACTATACCAATTTTATCAAAATTTTCTTTTTTCCCGAAAAAAAAAGAAAAATCAATTTCCAACTACGTCTTTGCTCACAAAATAGAAATAAAATGTGATGTATTGATGTTAAACTGTAGGTGAAGAAAAGAAATATGATGATAAAAAGAGATTCAGAAAAGTATGGCTTTTAATTAACTGTGAACGCAATAAATATTCACCACTTTTTAGTTGTCTTGTTTTCATTTTAAATTCATATTTATTGCTTCTTTACTTCATTATCTGCATGAGTATTAAATTTTCAACGGATTAATTAGTTTCAGTTCACTGGAAGCTCAACAATTCTATTTAAATTCATTTGATATATCAATGAAGATGTTGCATTTTTTAAATTCATATAATAAATACTTATTTCTTGAGGTGAATTTTTATAATACTACTTAATTTATGTTATTTATTCTTTGTATCCTTATTGCACATTCTGTGCTAAGATAAAGTGAGTTTTACGGTTAACACTAAATAGTAGGATATATAAATTAGCTACTCTTGGGTCAGACTTGACTAAGAACCCAACAATTTATATTCCTAGCTAAGGTAGAATTATTTCAAATTCCAAAATAGGCATTCAAATTTACAGTAAACCTACAAACTATTTAATCAAATTTTTTATCATCAATCATGGTTTTCTACCTGTTTCTATTTTATCCAATATATTATAAATGCAATCAAAATAGCAATATATTTGATTAATATGCTTTACTACACTTGGAAAAAAATATGATCATTATTTTCAACAGAGAAACTCAATCTCACATAGCCTGTCATTTACACTCAGCATAGATTCTCCATTGAATAACTCTAAATTCTAACTGTTCAATGTATACTTTGAAGATTAATAAATAGATCACCTGCATAAGTGAAGCAAGAATAGAATACATGCATGGGAAAACTATTGAAAGATATGATACTCGAATAAATCATTGAATACAATACTATCCAGATTCATTTTCTTTCAAGTGTTTTAGCAAAAGATATCTGCAGAATATCTTTGTACGTCTATCAGTATATGAAATGCTCTACTAGAGATATAGATCATGTATCAAGTTATACTCTTTGATACCCATTTGAATTGCAACATCTCAAACACAACACCAGTAATATAATAACACTGATATAGATGACATAAGATAATTATTTCAACAAATCATTTACAGATATAAAATTATTAAAAAAAACTCTTTCAAACTTTTTTAAAGAAGATATCTTGATATTTCATTAAGAGGTCATAATTAAAACTTTTTTCATGCCATATTTTTCATATAACCTATTCATTTTATTTATCACTTGAAATAATTTCCTCAAAACATATTAATAGCTTGATATAAAATTTTCAAAGAAATTTCATTTCATTAATTCGATTCCATTTCTTTTCAGAAATATAAAACTTAGTTAAAGTCAAGAAAAAGTGTTAATTAAGTGAAGTTATAATTTCGATGTCAGTTGAACGAATTAAAAGCTTTACCTAAACCTGTTAAAATTTTTTAATCTTACTTTTCTTTAGAGATATCAATAATTCAACCAGTTACATTAATCAGTATCACACAGTATGAAACCAAAAATCTGTGATGAAAAAAAAAAGAACTTTTTCTTTTCAGTTTTAACTTTTTGTCATTTTCTTTTTTTAATATTCTTTCTATTCTTTTCTCCCTTGCTTTTTTATGCTTAACTTGATGATAAAA